CCAAAAAACAACAACAACAAAAACAACAACAACCCGCCCCCCAAAAAACAACAACAACCCAAACAAAACAAACATGAAACTAACTGTACCCTAACGTCAACCCCACTATAAAGGCGTGTCATCTGTGACTGACGCCCCTGCTCTAGCTTGCAGCCATGCTCACCGTAAAGAAACCTCATGGTGCCCAGAGAGGCCGGGTCGGAAGGACGACAGAGAAGCCGGACCAAGCGATTCGCAGACGTCAAGTCCCGCCAAGCGAAGCCGAACAAAGCGCAGAAACTGTCCGTCTTCTCGCCGGCGGCCAGCTCGTCCTTGCAATCAGACCGTCTCGTTGACTTCCGGAAGAATGACATTGGCGCATGCGCAGACTCGCTGCTTCTGTGACTCTGTCCCTCGCCATGTTTGTCTTCTGTTCTGTCGCCAGGTGATGTCGCTGGGGTGGTTCCGGTCCGTTTCCTGACCATTTTTTTTGTCTTTGTGGTTATGACTTTGTCTTATATCCTGAAAGAAAATAAAAATCTTCGAGTTACAATAAGAATACATTAAGTTTCGAAGCATCAAGAATTAGTTTTAAATATGCAGTGTTGTGTGTCACCTCTCTTTTGATGCAGCCAACTTAAAAATCCCTGTCATGCAATACTGACATTTAGTGGCGGTGGGTGAACCAAAATTTGTGTGGGGCTTAGGTTGCTTCCACTTCTTTACCACAAAATAACAATCAATAAGTACAAAACAGTGACGGTTTTTCTATGATCACGGTGGGTCAAAGCATTTTGAGGAACATTCAAACGAGGCGAGCCACCTTTGACCTCCATTTCTTTGTTTTAAGTTTAATTCTTCTGGATGGTGAGGAATAAGCTGTTTCCCCTCCAAATGTCTTCCGATTTCACCTGGTTCGACGTAATTGCTGTTAAATATCAGCGGCACAAACACAAACATGCACAAACAGCACTTCCAACATATTCCGTCTAAATGAACTGGATAAGGCTGTGTATTCGCGAAAAATAGAACGCACCTAACAAAGGTCCAATGAGCGCATAGGTAGGCCCTAACTGTGTCACTGGGGAAAAGTGTCTCGTAAACTTTCACCCCATTTTCATGGCTAAGAGAGCGTGAGCCCTCAGTACAGTGTTCTTTTTTCTCTCTCAAATATTCTACCTTTTTACAAGAAGAGTTTCATTAAGGAAGGGCCGAGGGAACGAGCTCAAACTTTGTTGAGCCCTAAAGACATTAAGATTGGCTGTTAGGTTATTATAGTAAAGCGGTGACAACACAGATTGAATAAACAAGCAAGCCGCCAAGTCGATCAATCTGTGTTCATTGCGTGCAATCACAACGGTTTCAACTGCTTATTCCGTCATTTCAAATTTTTAAAATTTAATTTGGGATAGAGTTGGGGGATGGGGAGGGGGGCTCGAGCACGTGAGCCCTTCACTATCAACCGCCACTGCTAACATTTCTTCCAGAGTCCCAGTCTGTGGAGACCATACAAATAGAACGCACGGCCAGCTTGATGAGTGCCATGACCAGGACGTTCTAAAACGAACCTCGTACTGGAAATTATTCAACGTGGAAGTAGAGACTATTTAAAAAATAATAACATTAATAATTATAGTGCTCAAAAAGATTAACACAAGATTTTAATACGTACCTGAGTGGGCGGGTCGTGTCATTTGGCCATAGGCGTATCACGCACGTGCAGAAGCAGACTGCACTCACAGCTCTGTGGGGAAGATAGATAGATAGATAGTTAGATAGATAGATAGATAGATAGATAGATAGATAGATAGATAGATAGATAGATAGATCAGATATATAGACAGATAGATAGATAACGAAACGAATGGATGGAGAGAGAGAGAGAGAGAGAGAGAGAGAGAGAGAGAGAGAGAGAAAGGAACATCTCTTCAAATGTAAGCACTTTGTTTCTCTTGTAAAGTTTTCACTCCTTTCTGTATTGAGTGTTGGTAGTAGTAGTAATCTGTATCTTTGCCATTTTAGCGTGAAGTCAGTTGCACCATTTCTCTGTTGTTTACAATGTACGTACATGCCGCATTGTTCTGTCGTCTCTGGTCCACAGTGAACGACAGACGCCGTGGCCTCAGACGGAACAGCGTACAGTGTGTCTTAATGTCTCCGCTTTCTTGTATGTGCACAACTCATTTACGGTAACTTGATGTTTCGTTTACTTAAACTTAAAGTAAAAGTTGTACGTCACTTGGAAGCCACTTAGGTCATGTAAGTGCCTGTGCTTGGTGTTTCGTTACACTTACCTCAGCGGCTGCTTTTTTTCTATTCAGCTTCTTATCAGGTATCATAACTCTTTGGTGATAAAATGGTATTGGTTTAAGCCTCTACTAACACTGTTAAGCTATTTAAGAGGCGAGACCTTCGAGTTTAGAGTCTATCGCCCAAAAAGACCGAGCCAAAGTGGAATTTCATAAAAAGTGCCTTTCCCAAGGACACAACGTAGGACTGAGCTGAGGCTCGAACCCCTGAACCCGCAACCTCACTATTACGTGTCCGGCAGTCTAACCATTAGGTCACCGGCACCACTCAGATATATTGAAATAGCCTAAAATTTAATAACACTTTATAGTAGAGCCAAACCAGGGCTATGCGCACCATTGCCCAATGTGATACCAGCTGAACTTTCGATGCGCATTGCTATTTAGTTAATTCGAGAACATGGACCTCTTCGTGATCTATCCAGTTTTGTCTTTGTAGAACTCAACGTCACACAGGCTCAATGTAGGCCCTATGTCGTTTTGAAGGCCACAGTTGTTGTTATTAGTGGGCTGCCGTGAATATTTGGGGCTCTAGTATTAAGATTTGAACCTTTATCTTTCAAGAGTGAACCACATTCGCAACCACCCTCACAGTAACAGAAGATTGCGATAACATGAATATGATGATGATGAGGATAATAATGATGATGTTGACGATGATAAGCATGGGAAAGAGGAGAAGGACTAGGAGGAAGAGAAGGATTTACAGCTTGATTTGTCGTCCCCTTCTTTTTTTATATTCAACCGTCCCCCACACACATACACACTCGTACTTATTGTAGCCTATGTGCCTACCTATCAACCTTCTTCATTGTTTCCCAGCCATCCTTTCACAGTACATGTGCTATCTCTAGTTTTGCTTTTACGTTCACTTCACTATGTAGTTTTAATTTTTCTAATGCAGCATCAAACGCCATAAGAACTAATCTAGTGAACGTTTTTGTTATGTCTTATTATAATTTTCGTGACGAAGCCTGAGATGGCAAAATGACGAGCAATATATAATGATATACTTTGAACATTCATATTAAACTGCACCAGATCTATACACAACTTTTGTTTCGTTATTTTGACTTTTTTCAAAAATGGTGGGGAATTCAATAATGATGTTATTATGCATATATGCAGTTGTTGTTCCCGTGGGAGTGTGTGTGTGTGTGTGTGTGTGTGTGTGTGTGTGTGTGTGTGTGTGTGTG